AATAATATTATGCACTCCATGGTGATTATAACTGGGTTTATGAGATATAAAAATAATTATATAATTATCTTTCCAGTAAATTTCTTTTTGAGCATTGAACAAAATATCGCGTCTACCAATAAACTGTGGTTTACCGTAATAATAATTAAAGTATAACATGCAGGCTACAATAAACATTTAGTTCAATTAAGTAATCTTACAGAAAATAATTAAAATAAAATAACATAATATGATATGATAGATTAAAATTAAAAGAATTTGTATAATTTTTTATTTATAACTGTGTACTTGAACTGGATTTTTTAGTAGGGAATAATCGATGAAATTCTCTTACAAGCATTTTAAAAAGTGTAGTTTTTAATTATAGTTCCTCTATAAATAAACTATGATAACTTGCATCAACATTACAAGCGATATCTAAACCAAATAAACAGATATTACCTATAACAGCATTGGTTTTATAATATTTACACTGAAAGGTAACAAGATAAAATGTATAAAACGGATATATCATTATGAATTACAATAAATAATACAATAACCATAATGATGCGAATATCCTAGTTATAGTAGAACACACAACATTGGTAGACTGCATACTATACTTATAAATATTTAAGGTTTTGTTAATAGTTCATACAAAATATTTGAGTAACGCTTATCTAAACAACACAAATTTTGTACGCTTAAAATTAAATACATTTTTAGACATTTTGTATACCTGTAGGTTATAATGCACCATTTTTGTATTACACATTAATTTAATTTTGATTTTTGAATTTTACTTAAACATGACTTATTTCTATATCTAAAACCAAAATATTTTTGCTTGTTGTTGTTTTTGGTTTTTGTATCAATCATTATACTATGTTTGTTTTTATTCATCAAAGAAGTGCTAATACCCTGTGCTTGTACTTTATTTTTTAGTAATAGTCGATATGTAGAAAATAGGTTGACATCAGCCATGACGTGCCTATGTTTTTTACCTTATGTTTTTTTCTTGTTAATAGATGAAAGATGGTTGTGCCCGAAATGTGGCCGCAACTACAAACGCAAAGCCCATTTAAGTTTTCACTTGGCCAAAGAGTGTGGGGTTGGCCCACAATATAATTGCTCGAAATGTTTCAAATTTTTCAAGCGTAGTAGTCATTTGAAGAGTCACCAACTATCGTGCGGTGATGTTTCACCAAAATTTCAATGTGACATTTGTAAAAAGAAATTCACACGCAAGGACAACATGAAAACTCACAAAAACACTATACATAGACTTTCCGATCCTAATATACCAAATGAAGTCTATGCGTTTTATAGCGAATGGCAAATTGGGGATTCAGATTAATACTTAATTAATTATATTAATAATATGTTAACTGGAACATAAATTGTTTATTTATATACCTAATTATGTATGTTTAAATACATATAATATTTGTTTATTTATATTAATATTCAGGTACATTTATAGAATACAATTTGAAACTGTACATAATACAATCAATTAAAATGTGATAATCTGCAATTTAAAATATTGGAAATTTCTTCTTTATTTGAATATATTCTAAAATGATTATAAATGTTTATTTTTACAGAAATGCATACACACAACAAACTCTAAGGTTAATTCATCAGCTAATTATAAAATGGTTCCATAATTATCTATAATGTTAGGTTAAGAAATAGAATTTAATTATGTTTTTAATATTGGTTTTTTATTACTGAAACTTATTGAGCGCCTTTACTCTATATTCTACTCTAAGTAATTTTATTTGGTTTTATTCTTATTTAGGTATATAATGTGGTTGTTGATCATTAAATTGAGTAAGTATATGTTTGGCTTTCAAATTTGAATTGCAATTTTCAGTACTAGTTGAAATATATTTATATGATGGTGACATAAACTAGGTAGATAATAAAATATTTCGCATTTAAAACTTGGATTGATAATTAGTTATATTGTTTTGTAAGTACTTAACCTAATACCTACAATAGTTTATTTATATTCATACATATTGTCCACATATTTTAAAAGCCGAATATAAAAATTATAAATATATTCACATTTTTAATGGTTATCAATTTAATATTATTGATTTTCATAAACTAAACTTGTAGTTTGTTCATTTTGTAATAATTCTCCAATTAAAATATGTTTTGGAGCTCAAATGTATGAAGGGTCTCAAATGTAGTGCTAAACAATTGATGGGGTTGAACATAAGTCCTCCTTGCCATTAATATAACAGAAAACTAGAAATACCCTATATACAGTACATACTAGTCACTACCTATATGTTCTATATTTTAAAATGTACTAATGTATGAGATATCAGTATACAAAATAAACATACTGATGTACTGTATAGCTAAATTTAAAAACTATAACAAAATATTTCAATGCTTTTTACGCTTTATTAACATCAAGTCAAATCATTCTGTAGTTTGTATTACATTAATTATTATAAAATGTATGCATTGCTAAAAACTTTGATAAAAATATTAATATTAATATTTGTTTATACCAGTATTTTTTTAAATTATTTTGTTGTTTATTATTTTTCAGGAACCAGAAAAAAAACACTAAATAATACTGAAAAAAATAAAGACATTAATAAGAACAAAAATGTTTGTGCTGTATGCTCAAAATCTTTTAAACACTTCAACACTTTGAACAAACATTTGCGAAGTCATTTATTACCAAAAAATTTGGTGATTCATCCATTTCAGTGTGATAAATGTGATAAAACTTTTCCAAAAATACAAAACATGAACACACACAGAGCACTTATTCATGGTGTATTAGAAATGTAAAAAATTAAATGTAGGTTATAATTATACTATAATAATAATAATATATTATTATTCATTATATTTACTATTACATATTATAGCAGGGGTGGCCACAACGAGGCTCACGAGCCTCACATGGCTATTGAGTCAGTTTCTTGAAGCTCTAAATTTTTTCTATAAATAATTAAATAAATAAATTTTAAATAAATGAAGGAACATTCATTTGCTATTTTATATATAAAATGAAAAATGTGTCTTCATTTTATGAACCACGTAATAAACATCTCTTAACAAAGTAGCTTGCTTTGAATTAGCTTCATAAATTTGCGGTTCCCAAAATTAAGATAAGTGGCCACCCCTGTATTATAGTATAGTTATTTGGTTATATGACTTATATTAGTATGTATTAATATATGTCAAGTTTTTTTATTCATTATACAATTAATCATTTATAATCGTCATTTTAAGAACTGAATTTTTTTGTCATTAATTTACTTTTGTTGCATATATTTGGCATAAATAGGGATATGTATAATTAATACTAATAAAGTAATTTTGGTTTAATATAATGGTTTGAGTTTTTGTTGATCTTATAGAGTTAAATGCTGTAGAATTTTAATATGGTGTGCCTAATGCAGGGTTGCTACGCACTCACTATTTCTCACTGTTCTCACTTTATTTGAGTGTGCTCACTTTTTCGCACTTATTTCATTGATTCCTCACTTTTTTCACTTTTTTAAAGATCTATAAATGTAAATAAGTGTTTAAATTAAATATTCGAAATTTTTATAATTATTTATGTTTTAAGACTATTTTTAAAAATAAAAAAAATGAATTGTGGAATAAAAATCCCCAGACTACAATAATACTCATAACCTCATGAAAATTGTTGAACAAATATTTTTTAAACACTAATTAGTATCTATAATTACCACATTATTAATATTTAATTACAAATACGTATATTATATTATATTATACTATATTATAATATCATTCAAAAAATTAATATACATAATACTATAATATAAGTTTCTACAGTTGTTATATTTGTTGGTTACCTATATTTTATTTATGTTATATAAATTAGGTACTGTAGGTAGAACCAACTATTATTAATATTTAAACAAAATTGTTTTATAAGTATAATTTATAACTTGTTTATAATAAACTGAAAAAGTAAAAACAACTGAAAATATTTTAAACCATTGTATTTTATTTTTATGTTTTTGTTTAAAAAAACTCACCTATAATATGAAAATAATACTCACTTTTTACTAGAATATTACTCACTTAATTGAAAAAAATACTCACTATTCTCACTTTTTTTAAGAAAAAAATTAGTAGCAACCCTGCTAATGTATAATCTAGAAGTCCATAGACATCACACACTTGATTATATTGGAATAACATTTGGGTTTAAGAAAACTGGGGTGAAAACTTTTTTAAGAAATGTGTTTATGACATGCAAAAATGTTTTTATTTTATTTTTTAATCTCCAATTTGGTACAGTGGCCGATTTGTGGGAGTAGATGATGTGGATAGATCTAACCATGCATGATCTTTTATTTTATCTTTTTACAGAAACACTTTTAATATTTTTATTTTATGGTTGCATTTGCTTTCAATATAAAATATATTACTTCATATTATTAATATTATTTGTATATTTATAAGATATACTCCCCACAAAAATTGTAAATGATTTCATGTACTTTGAGGACCTAAGAACAGAATGAGTTTGAAGTTGGTTGAAAAGTGTCCGTATGAAAGCACAAAATAACCAGCATATATCATCTGTACATTATTTATTATTATTATTGTTAAATTTTACACTGTTATTTGCGGAGTGTATATTAGGAGAGAAAAAAAATTGATTGCCTTTAATAACATAGGCCTTTACCATAAAAAAACTTCTTAATACAAATTGTAGACCTACACTTTTTATTAGATCTATTATAGATCTTTTATAAGTATTTTTTTATATATTTTTTTATTAATTTGGTCTCAATAAATAATTACTGAACTACTGAAGTACTTTATATTTTTATAATTGTATAAATGGACCTTAATCTTTATCTTTTTTTAAAAATTTTATTACACTTATACATAAAATCTAATCGTTTTGGCCCTATATTGCCAACTATGCATTAAGTATGGTATTATTATAATTCATGGACTTGTGATATAACTTTCAGTTTTGGATTTTAACCCAAAATGCTAAATAAAAAATTTAAAAAAAGTATTGCACACTTAATAAATTATTTAACTTTATAAATTAAGAATCTAATATAAGCTTTTAAGCGCTTTTTATTTAAATAATAAATTCATATATGTATATATGAAAGTACCTACCTAACCTTTACTATATTATTAATTATAATCTATCTTTTATAGGAATAGCGCAGCTACAAAATGGTCGATGGATATGTCCAAATAGTTATTGTGGTAGAACGTATAAAAAAAAGTTTTCATTGTATCGTCATTGTCGACAAGAGTGTGGTGTTGAGCCTCAATATCGGTGTTCATTTTGTATAAAAACATTTAAACGTAAAGAATCACTCAAATCACACTCTATAATAGTTCATAACTTTTGTGACTTTAATAACTTACAACTAAAACAACACAAAAAAACCATTTAGTATTTAGCAATTTATACTTAGAAGTCTTACAAGCATTAAATACACAACAATCCCTTCCAATATATCAAATTTTTTCAAGAAAAACCTACTCAATTTGTGAGAAAGGAATATAACTTTTTATATAGGTATTGGTGACCGGACACAGCTTTTTAAACTGTAAAGAAAAAGCTAATCATGAAATGTCCAATACTGATACCCACTCTTAAATATAAACACATATGCCGACACTAAAAAACATTTACAATATATACTTTGCTACAAATGCCAAAAACACTGGAAATCTAAAATACCAAATCAATTTCAATAAAAATCAATACATCCTAAATCTAAAAAGGATGGTCGCAACTATAATGAACCGCCTATGAATTGGACTCACATTCCTAACCCACAACTACCTAAATCTAAAAAACAAACCACTTACTTATAAATAATTTGGAGTAAATAACAATGGAACACATCATTACCAAAGGCGGAAAATATGAGGATACAAGAAATAAATACTACATTACACAATAAATCCGACAAAATTTGATCAGATCTACTATCAAATATAAATATAACTAATTTTCTCAAAGAAACAAAACTATATAGCTATATAACTCGATATACTACAATTGTAAATAATATACCTAGTATATTATCTTATGGGTAAACTAGAAAACTAGTAAACCAACTTTATATAAATATTATACCCGTATTATATTTCCTAATAAACTAAGTTACTGATTTAAATATCAATAAAATTATAAACAATATACGTCTTTTAAAAACTATTAAATATTAAGACTGATCATCAACCATCAATTCTAATAATTATTAATACAAAACATGTTCTGTAGACTCTACCGTCACTTAAGTAAATGTATGACATTTAAATTATAATAAATTATAAATGTAATAAAGTATATAATAT